AGCTCCGCGCGGCGCCCCGCGCGCTCCCGACGCCGCCGCACGCGCAGCCTCGCTCGCGGCGGCGCGCGCCGGCCTTCCCTCCTCCTCCTGACGGCAAGGGGCGCTGCAGGCGGGAACGGGAACGGGAATGGGAATGGGGACGGGAATGGGGAACGGGAATGGGAATGGGGACGGGAATGAGGAACGGGAATGGGAATGGGGACGGGAACGGGAATGGGGACGGAGACGGGAACAGGAACGGGGACGGGGAACGGGAACGGAATGGGCACCGGCACCACCGGCTGGGGAGTAGCGAATCGCGGGAGCGAGCCACGGGGAGGCTGTTCGGGCGGGCTCCAGAAGAGAGTGGGAAAAGGGAGCCTGTGTCCCTTGGCGCTGTCCCCTGCGGACATCGATGCCCTGGCTGAAGCTGCAGCAGGAGCTTAGGGAGGGCGGGTGGGTGCCAGGTGCTTTATCGAATATCGTGTTTTCCCGGTTTTGCAGGTCACGGGGTTGGAGGATGAAATAAAGGACATAACCAAATTCAGGTATATTTAGGCATACCTTTGGGATGAGCCAAGATTAACGTATGTGGGCACTTCAGCCTTTACCTAGCTAGGATGCTCTGGCACAGGAGCAACAAAATTTGCAAATACTTTAGGCTTTGCGTAAAGCATTGATATTTAAGGACTAGATACTTTGAAGATTTCAGGGCTAGCATGTAGTTGCTTCTATCATTCTCAGTGTTGCTGTACCTCCAGCTTCCCAAAGCATTCTGAAACCAATACCAGCTTTCCCTTAACATATGAAATGGCCAGTGCAATTGGGGTGACCCACCCATAGGAAAAATCTGTCAAATGTGAAGGGTATATTTTGAAAGCTCAAAACCCCAATGGGATACAGAAAGAATCTATTTCCAGTTAAAAACTCAGTAATTTAAAGCAAATTACATGACTTGGGGTGCACCACTTTGACTCATTCATTTTCTGATATTTAGGTTTTGCAATATTGCTGCACATTCTGCTTATGGTGGTGACTTGTACCTAATCCAGCAGTATATTAACCCAAGTTCAGTTCTGTTGTGTGTTTTACTGGGGGCTCTTCTCCACTAGTCTTTAATCTCTAATATTACTTTAAATGCTATTTATTTCATAAAACATGTTGCACTTTTAAAAAAATGCAGTTAGAATATTTAATATTTAATAATTCAGTTATAAGGGCCCTACATTGCATCACTACATCTGGACTTGGAGAATTAATTGCTGTAGCTGGGATAATTATCTAGGGAGAAAAAAAAATTCTTCCAGTTGGAATTGTTCTGAACTAGATTTCTTGTCATAATGCTGAAGTGTGAGGACTGATGTTAGACTGTTATATGGAAGCAGCTGGGGATTTTTGTACAAAAATTCAGTCCTGTGCTCAATGAAGTAGGGGAGTATTTTAGTCTTGGCTTCACTCTGCATAATACTGCAACTTGTTTTGAAGTCTATTTGCCTATTGGCTTTTGGTTTAAAAAGGATCAAACAACAACAAGAAAGGTTGAATTTTTCAGAATCAGCTGAAATATTTTTTCTGTGTCAGTTTAGTCCTAAGTACCTTAGCTTTCTTTGAAAAATCCAGTCCACGTGCTGGGAAAAACTGACCATTATTTGCATCCCAAAATTTATCAAAGTTTATAAATAGCACCAGAATAAATAATTCATGCCACTGTGGTGGTTTCAGATCATATAAAGAACTGTCAGACCCACTTTGTCTAGGAAAAAAAAATTGAAACACAGGCATTAAAACACTTGACCAAAGCCAGGAAGCACAAGTTGAATGCTACCAATTTGTATGTGCTGGGACTGCAAGTGTCAAATTTTTTGACCATTTTGAAGTGCTTTGAAATGTGGAGATGTAATATTTTATCTCCTTTTTTAAAACATGGGAAGGAAAAATAACTTCTAAGGCTTGCAGGTGGGTTTACTTCCTAAGAACTTCCAACTGATTTATAACAGTTTGCGAAGTGGTTTCCTTAGTGTCATTCAAAGCAGAGTAAAGGAACTAGTTGAACTTGCATTTTCATTTTCAGCCCTCAACATTTAACTTAGCCTGTAAAACCAGGAATCAAAAAATAGGATAAACAGTGCAAAAGTAGGCTGGGATTCTCATGACTCCCATTCAAGGGCATTTTCCTTCTCTCCCTCTTGTCCTCACCCTGCCTGCTCTCCCTCCCTCACTGTCTTAGCAACAAGATTCACTGGCTGACTGTAGCTAACTTGTCTTCTACCCCCTCAAACCAATTAGTTCATCTATTTAAGTCATGCATCGAAGAAGCCTGCCCCCTTTGAGCACACAGCTCACTTAGGGCCCAATCCTACAATCTTCAATTTTTAAGGCAGAGAGAGTTTGCAATTGACTCAAATTACATTAGGATAGGACCTTTTATGTTCTAATTTCTTTACAAAAGCTGTAGCATGATGGAGAGGGTGTCGGTGCTATCACTGTTTTCCTTCATCTACCCTTTTCTTTATTTGAAGAGCACAACAGTATATGGAAAAGTCCTTAAATAATGGAGAAAGTAACTAAAACATCAATTCACAAAACCTCTTCTATTCACAAATGCTGCTTATTCATTATCAGTTCCAGAAAATTGCAAAGATTGGATTTGGTGAGCAATTAGAACATTCAGTAGAAAACTCAGAGCATCCAGGAGAAAACAGCATTGTAGTAGTAATGACTACAGCATCCCTTTTTGTCTAAGCTTTTAATGAAAATCACAGTCTTTTAGTGCATATTTTAACGAAATGCTAAACATTGGGCAGATCTCAGAAGGAAGCCTGCTCTTTTTGCACTCCTAACAACCTCTGGCATAATGAGGTGTGACAAATTGATTTAAAATGTAGTTGCAGGAAGAAGGGCAGGCGAGCTTTGCTCTGCCTTGTGGGTGTTGTAGTCGTTTTGCAGCTCTGTGCCTGGGCAGCAATAGGAACCCGGACTCGAAGTCCCACAGCTCCCACTAGAGCCCGCCGCACAGGCTCAGAGCCCATATGCGAGGAGGGGGTGACTACATTGTGTCTATTGTATGGTTTTTTTGTTTTGGTTTGGTTTCGGTTTTTTTTTTTTACCCCCGGGCATTTGGCACGTTTCACGGGAGGTGTAAACCGGGAGTAAAAAGCATGGCAGATGAGCAAGAAATAATGTGCAAACTCGAGAGCATCAAGGAGATCAGGTATGTTTGCTTTGTGCCCCATCGCTTACATGAAGCAGCTTTTTCCTCGGGGGAGCGGAGGAGTTGCATCCATCTGAAAGTACCTATTGTGCTACTGAGGGAAAGAAAACTACCGCTGGGTTTACGACGAGAGCTCAAAATACATCTTTCTAAGCAGGGAGGGAGCATCTGCTGCGGGCAATCGCCGCTGGAATGCGTAGTGGAGGGCGGTAATGGTCGTGCATTTGCAGAGCAGCCCTGAGCGCTAGCACGGGAAGGCGGAGTGCGCGGGGGGAAGGACTGAGCGGCCCGGCGCAGCTGGGGGAGTGGTGTCGGGCCGCGGCTGTGGAGGGCTTCCACTGTTTGTTTGTTTGTTTGTTTTTAAGTCGTTTGAATTAGCATTTCGTATTCATGAGGCTCTGAATCTGTTATTTTGCCTCACTCACTCCCGGGCAGGAGCCTTGTCGGGCTGAGAAGGAAGGGGGGATGGCAAGGGAAGCAGTCTGACACCCAGATCCGACGTGCCCTCGGGCAGGACACGGCTGGGCAGCGCTGCCGGCAGAGCCGCAGTGGGGCAGGACAGCCATCTGTCCTTCCATCCATCCATCCGTCCGTCCGTCCCCCGCGGAGGGCGGCGGTACGGTAGGGCCCTCCTTGGAGCGGTGGATCCGTGCGGGGTGAGAGGGGAGCGGCTGAGCCTCAGAGGCTTCTCCGTCCCTGCCCTCTCTCCCCTTCGGCCAAAGGCGGGCAGCGCCTCAGGGAGCCCCGCCGAGATGTCCCCGCCTGCTGCTTCGGGGACGGGGACACTCCGGACCGGGGCTTGTTCCTCCGTGCCCTCCTGCCGCCAGGCCCGAGCTGCCTCGGGCTGCGGTTCATGCAGTGCAAAACACCGGGAATTTGTATATAGCGTCCTTTACACGGCGAGCTGCAGGATGCTGTGGAACAGGGGGCTCATTAAAAGCCAGGCAGGGTACAGCACCTGCCCACATCGGGAACGCTTTTCATAACTTTAGGCAGGGCGTTTCCACTCCTTGCTCCAGGGCACCGATTTTCAGGGTTAGGCCTGATCTGTCTGTTTACCTGGAGCCAAAACACCTTAGCGAGAACAGTGGTTTTGAATGCAGCTGGGAGGTGGAAGGCACGCTGACTGTGACACCCCAGAGCCGTGAGAGGGTTTTGGGACATGACAGCCAGAGAGGGGCTGGCAGAGAGAGAGGAGAGAGGGATCCCAGCTCCCAGGTGATCACAGGCACTTCTGCTGCTTACAGCATCTCTGGGCTGGCAGAGAGAGAGGAGAGAGGGATCCCAGCTCCCAGGTGATCACAGGCACTTCTGCTGCTTACAGCATCTCTGGGCTGGCAGAGAGAGAGGAGAGAGGGATCCCAGCTCCCAGGTGATCACAGGCACTTCTGCTGCTTACAGCATCTCTAAGGAACACACTTTATCCGTGGAACAATTTATTTGCAGCAGAGTATGGGCCTCAGCCTTCTTCACACAATACCACAAAGATGAACAAAGATCAAGCAAAAATATTTGTCTGTCTAGTATCTCCAAACTATTTTTAGAAAGAGATGTGGCAGTGTAAGAACAATGATTTTGTACTCAACTGGTGCACAGGCTCTGTTTTAGAAAACAGATCTAAGTATGGCCTACTACAGTGTGTGGTCCAATTACTGTAACACTTAATTTAAATTTTGTTTTTCAGTGAGAGTGGTATCCTGTATGTGGAAATTTACAGTGCATTCAGTTTTAGGATAACATATTCAAAGGTGATATATTAACTGCACTTGACAGATTTTTGGTATTGTTTTGTGGTATAAGGTAGAGCAAAGGTGATGTTTTTAGCGTACAATGAAGTATCAAACAAGTTACTTGAGTGTATTTTAAATTAAAAAAAAAATCAGTGTCAAAAAGCCAGTCCTACTTGCAATGTTGATGTCCATTTTAAGTTGCCTTTAACAAAATCTGATCAAATAAACCTATTTACTCATTTGAAGCTTGCATTCTGTGAAGAATTTCCTTCAAGATAAACATGAGATTTCCTTAAGTTTACAGATTCACCTTTGATAGATTTAGCAGACTTTATTTTAATCTGCAATTTATGTATTCTACAGACAGAGGGGAAAGAAGTCTTCATGAGCAAAATCAAAGAACTTGCCCATCTGTATAGTTGATGTCTATCATGTATTATGATACAGCTTAGCTGGGTTTTGAAGAGATGTGGGAATCTGATTTTGAATCTGGAATCTGATCTCTATATCCATATCTGTAACTATAGATAAATACATATAAATTTGTAGTCAAGGGAATACTTCTTTCAGTAAACCCATTGGATGCCCACAATCCAAGCATATATGCACATGCTTATTTATATGCATTAAATACTTCCACAGAAATAACCCAGTCATAAAATTAGGTAAGTACCTAAAGACTCAGTGTTCTGACTGGGAGGAGATAAAAGAGAATAAGAGTGAATTTACTGATGAGAGATGCAGACATATGTCATAAATACAAGAGAGGAAACAGAAATTTTGTAATTGTTCTGTTTTAAATCTCCTTCATTCGTATTATCCCTGCCAGACCACCTGTTTCTGAATACATATTGTATGTAAAAGTTTTTTATGGTACTGTTTTTATCTCTTGCAGCTTTATAAACTCCTGAAGTGAGAGAGGCAGGAACCCAGGTCATATTACTAGCTATGACACTTGGAATATATAGCCATAATTAATTGTCCAAGTGACTGACCTGCTTTCTGCCATGCTCTGTCAAAACCTGACAACATTCTATTAATTTCATAATTCAGTACAAGGACTCTCTTACCACTGAAAAGCTCAGCAAAAGATCTGGCATTAGAATTCAGTATTCTCCTTGTACCTCACCTTCTCTCAGACACATTTAGTCTCATTCTTCTCTGTTGCTGCTATTGCCTTCTTTCATCTATCTAATCCCATATAAAATGACACCTCACAAAAAAAATGTGTCAGTGACTTACTGCTGTCTTTCTATCTTTTAAATTATCACTGGGATTCAGGAATAAGACTTTGCAGATGGAAAAAATAAAGGCAAGACTGAAAGCAGAATTTGAAGCCTTGGAGTCTGAGGAGAGGCACCTGAAGGAATATAAACAGGAAATGGACCTGCTGCTGCAAGAGAAGATGGCTCACGTGGAGGAGCTGCGACTGATCCACGCTGACATTAACGTGGTATGTGACAGCCCAGCTCAGACAGTCTGACTAAGACACAGCTGCACATGAATCATCCCCCAGCTTGTGGAATTGTGCACGAGTGAAGCATCACTGGATCAATAATGTGCACTTTACAACACTGTCCTAGGATCCTACAGAGAGGGCAAAGTAAATTTACCTCAGGATAATTGGTTTTTCCCTTTGTAGGGCAGGATATTTTATAATGCTGGCATAATAAGCTGTTGCACCAAGAGGATAGATAAGATAACCAAGCCTGTTGTGGCCATGTCTTTACCAGTAGCCACAGTGATACCACTCCAGCTGTCCCATAGAAAACAGTTCTTCCTGTTAGTCTTTTCTCATTTACCACCCAGAAACAGAAACTTTGGCAGCTAGGTGGGACTAAGAGATTTTGAGAAAATACATAGTGTTTGTTATGTTCATAGTAAGAGCTGACCTTCATCACGGAGTGGAATCACCAAACATCAAGAAGCACCAGCCTGAAGGGAATTAATACAAATAAGAGAAACAACAATTTGTAAACAGGGAAGACTAGCCAATTAGAGGGGCTAAATAGGGAATATACTTTAAAATACATTTTTAATCTCATATTAGGGCACTTACTTGGGGATCTTAGCTCTGAAGGTATCTGTGTTGCACTGGAAGAAAAAAGCTCCAAGTGAAAAAGTACAAGCTATGTACTGGATGTGCAGACTGCATTTATTTATGGCTTCAAATGTCTGCTTCCCTGTCCAGCTGCATAACCTCAGCCTCTGTTTCCTCCTCCTCTCTTTGTGCAGACAGATTGTCTTTTCTCTGCTGCTTTTCCCACTTGCTGCAGTAAGAGAAGCAGAAACCTTTCCTTAGCTTGTTTGTTAACTTCTGCCAGTCAATGTTCAGGTATCTTAGAAACACAGAAAATTAGTTTATGCTACTTCAAGCTCTTGTTTAGTGTCTCTTGAGAGTCTTCAATAGCTCCTCACTTGCTGACTTTATTTGTAGCCCATCTCTCTGCTTTTTCTGTTGTTCAGAAGGTCCTATAGGTGAGTGCACTTTTAAAATATGAAAATGCATCTCTTATGTCACTTTCTGTTGCTTCTTCTTTGCCCATTTTTCATCCTCTCAATACCTTAAGTCTTTGGTTTACTATTACATTGTCTCAAATCTCTTGCAACTTGAGTGAGAAAAATCTCCTCTTTCTGGTACAATCTGCTGCTCAGTCGGAGGGGAACAGTTCTTTAAAAACATGCCCAACCTCCTGTTTCAGATGGAGAACACTATCAAGCAGTCTGAGAACGATCTTAACAAGCTCTTGGAATCAACTCGCCGGCTCCACGAGGAGTACAAGCCCCTCAAGGAGCACGTGGATGCCTTGAGAATGACTCTGGGCCTGCAGAGGCTGCCAGACCTGTGTGAAGAGGAAGAGAAACTGTCCCTTGAGTAAGTCTTCAAAGCAAACATTATCTGGCTTTATGCTTTCTTTCAATTCTACTGGTCATTTTCTTATTTTAATTTTGTTGGTAGGTGAAAAAAAACAACTCGAGAAGTAAGCATGAAAAACAAAAGGTAGCAGAAAAGGGACGTGGAGGACATGTGTTTGATAACATTCAGTCTGAATTTGTTCCAGGTTAAATTTAGGTTATTGCAAGCTGCAAACTCTACATACCACATTCAAACATTCAAGGGTGGTTGTTGCCTTCTAGGTTTTATACTGTATGTCAATTTTTCTATCTTTTTATTTTTCCCTGAAATTTACTTCTTTAGCAAGCAATAGTAGGAGGCAATACACAAAAGGGATACAAACCAAATATTCTTCAGCTGGGTTGTACTGCTCCTAGTCAGAGTTTTACTTTTTGCTGCCTGCACATGGCAGTGGCTTTTAGCCAAATACTGTGACTGTCAACACGTTTCCCTGAGATGTGGAATGGATTTGGATAATAAATCACAGTCTCATTTTTACATATAACCTAGGCAGGGCAGAGTGGCAGAATTAGCTGCTGTTCAAAGAACAGTGTCCTTTGCTTAACAGACCAGTTTTAAATGCAAGGGATGTTTTAATAAGCATGTATTGCTCTTATTGCCCAACATAATTAATATAGTTTACACACACACACACAGTTTTCAAGATTTCCTTTGTATTTCAATAGAAATGTTGTTTTGCATTCCAAACACCTTGACACTACAAAGAATGTATTGGTCTGTTTATTAATCTGTTGTGTACAGATTAATAAACAGTTATTATTGAAAGTTATTAATTTTAACAGAATAAAATGGAAAAACTGTTTGGCACAGGTGCATCTGAAGCTGTTGCCTATTTTTCTTCTATACATGTTGTCTATTTTTCATCTTACTAGATTTATATCCAGTCTGGAATCTGGCTGAAGTGTAGAAATGCAGCAGAAAACACCACATATTCTATTTATGAACTAGTCAATGTGTAGGCATTTTGGCAGTTTGACTCTAGTGGAGGAACATGATAAGGAAATGTGATCCACTGTATTTTAACACCAAATATCCTTTACAGGCTAATGAAATACTCCAGAAGGTGGTTACATTTTTTGTTTGTCATTCTTTTGTCTAGCTACTTTGAAAAGCAGAAAGCAGAATGGCAGACAGAACCACAGGAGCCTCCCATCCCAGAGTCTCTGGCTGCAGCTGCAGCAGCTGCCCAACAGCTGCAGGTGGCCAGGAAGCAAGACACCAGACAGACAGCAACTTTCAGACAGCAGCCACCTCCAATGAAGGTCAGGAGATGGAATGTGCTGGGTTTTCTCTTTTGTCATTGGAATGCATTATGTTTAGAGAGTGATTAATGTTTGTGAAAAGGAAAAATTACATGTCCTGATTGTGATTTTCCTTGCAGTGGTTCAAAACAAGAACAAGCAGTAGACTAAAGTAGTAGCACCAGTCATCAAGGATTAAGGATAAGAATCTTTTGGGACTTAAAAGTCACTCTCAGCAGACATGCAGGCCATTCCCACTCCTCTTGTGTTTCACTTGGGAGCAAGGGATGTAAGAAAGAGAAAAAATCTTGGCAGAAGAAAAAGTAGTGGCTCTTAGTTAATGCCATATGGAGTCATACTAAAAGCAGCGCACATATTTTATGAGGGAAATTACCAATTATGTAAATGAGGGAAATTACCAATGGTGTAAATTACCAGGAAAAGTGATTGCTTCTGCACTTGGGATCTTCAAGAGTAACATGTGGATAAATGTAACATAACCACAGGCACTTCAGTGGCAGTTTTACTCAGCTCCTTAGGTAGTGAGAAGAGTTAAGTAGTTACACGGGGGTATTCATCCCACCCAGGTTCCTGAGTCACTAAGAAGGCTAACTGATGTAGGTACACCCCAAAGTAATATACTTACTATCTGTAGCTAGGCAATTGAAAAGCCATTCTGCAAGCAATAGGCTTCAGTCAAACATAAATTACAGTGCTTAGTCTGGAGCAAAAGGGTAAAGTTCTGTACCTTGTGTTAAGTATGTGGAATTCATCCAGTCACCTGCTCCTGCCTTCAATTCTGTGGCATTGCAGTTGGCCATCACTGTAACTTCTCTGACTCAGTGAACTATTAGGCAGGTAAACACCTTTAATACATCATTGTAAACAACACAAAATAGAATTTAAAGTTACTGACACACGTATGAGCCACATGTCTGCAGAAATGTAGTTTTAATTCAATGAGATGCTCCTGTTTTTCAGTAAGCCTGAAATTACAATCCACGTACCTAAATGGTATAGAATGCAGCAGCAGTCTGCCTTTGCAGGCAGGGAGCCTTGTTTTTTCTGTGCTGTGAGGCAGAGTGTGATAATCAATAACCTGTGTACCAAGGCCCCTTTGATGTTTGTAACCAATTGCATTTCAGGCATGTTTGTCGTGTCACCAACAAATCCACCGGAACGCGCCCATATGTCCACTCTGCAAAGCAAAGAGCCGATCTCGGAATCCCAAAAAGCCCAAGAGGAAACAGGATGAATGAAATCCAGGAGATTGACAAGCTGTGTGACCTGTCCCAGTACTCTTCCAATAGAATGGCAAATTTGCCCAGACTTTACTGAATTGCAGACTCAAGTATGACTGTCTCATTGTTTTCTATTTAAATGCAATGTAAGCACAATGTTCCTGCTCTAAGTTCCTTCCAGTCTTTAGGATTTGATTTTAGGGAAGTAAATATTACTGGTGCTACGGTTTAACATTTCAATTGCTCCATCTTTTGTACTCCTAAACAAACTGGAATTCTTTGTGCAAGTGTCCTAAATGTCAGGCTATTTCTATTGACCAAATGTGATTACCACAAATGCTTTTATGTTCTCTTTTTAAAAAACAGATGTTACTAAAAGATTATTCTGTTTTCTCCTGATAACAGGAGACTATTTGAAGTGCTAAAATAGCAGACTGTCTGTTTCACTGATGAACAGTTTGTTCTCCTATCTCGTAAGACTGGGTAGATTTGGGTATCCAATGGAACTCTTTTTACACAGGAAATGTTTAGGGAAAACAAGATTAGTTATACCGAAAATCAATGCATTAAGGACACACATGGGTTTTGATTTACTGAAGTTGATTGTACCATTCCCTCAAACTTGACTTAAAACTTGGAAAGGTGCTCTCTGTGTATAATTTTTAAAAATTATGTTTTAACATCTTAACAGGTTATTATTTTCAGCAGTCAAAAGACTGACTGACTTAAGAACAAGGCTGAAGTGAACTGTATTAGTGGTCCTCCTAGGCTTTTTGGCTGACCAATGCACTGTGGTTCTCTAGGAAACATGTATGATATATGCCAGATCTCTATGTGCACAGACTGCACATCAGCCATTCTGCATGTCTTCTGTTCCTCGTTTCTACAGCCAAAATCTGCCAGACATATCCTCCACTGGAGCATAGGAAAGTTCAGGAACATGCATGAGGAACAGTGTCAACTAAAAATTATATAATTTTCCAAAACCAATGAGCTTTGGTGCCATTGTCCTCCCTCAACCAAAACTTTGTATTTTTCTGTCTTTTAATAGGTCATTTTCAAATAAGCTTTACTTCAGGCCAGTTTGTTTTCTTGTTCCCTGTGTGCCAAAGGAACCCTGACCAAAGCTTCTGGATTAGATCACTCCCTGTATGTTTTCCCTTTGTTTCATGTAATGTAACAACAGTTCTTGCAATGGGAAGGATGGAAATGATCCATTTACAGAGCCGGCACTTGAAATTTACTCATCTCTAATCCCAGTTTTTGTGACCACCTTTGTTGCCTAAATTGATCTCAAGTGTTAAATATTCTTTTTACTAACTCTGGGACACAGGAACTGCTTGTTCACACTCTTCTCTCTTTAGCCCAGGTTTCTCTCTACTGTTATGTCAGGGTGGTTATACTGGGAATTTGGCTTGTTAGACAGGAGGAACAAGGAAGCCCCAAGTCTCTGCTCCAAGAACTTTGCCAAATGCTGGCAACTGTAATAAATCCACACAATGCAATTTTTCTGGCCAAATCACATATGTTGCCATGAATTTCCTAAGTTTGCCACAGAGTACATGATTGATTTACTGAATATATTCCTAAAACTTAAGCCAGGTTCAGGAGATACTCCCCCATTTTCATGTTACATAGTCAAATCAACATCTGTCAACAGCAGACAGAATGTGGACCACCTGCCCCTGAAAATATGTGAAGAGCAGATTCTGCTAGCTGAATGACAGGGATTTGGTCTGTGAGATAGCAATAATGGAAGATAGTCTCCATGCTCCAAATGGCAATAGTGTGTTATGCATGTCTTGTAGCACAAATACTGGATTCTACTGTTTTAAGTGTCAGAGTGGTCGCATGCTGTGTGCTCTGTTCAGAGCAATTCCTATGGAGTTGAAGGGAAACTGCACAGAGTTAAAAGACAGTATGTGGACTTCCCCAAAGTGCAGACATGAGAGCAGCATACTTTAATGGTAGTTGTACATAAATTTAAGTAGTGACAATGGAGTGGGTGAATGGTCTGCAATGAAGTAGTGTGAATAGGAGGATTGATTTGTAGAGACTTCTACTTACAGTTCTGAAATAGGTAGGGTTAGTCATCGTTGTTCTCACTTTACTGTTACTTTGCCAGGTTCTTTCTTTCTTGGGAGATCCCTGAACTGAAGTATTCTTAAGGATACACCATTTGCTAATTTAGTACAAGAGTTTGTACTTTTACTTTTTTAAACTAGGCTCATGGGCTCTTGTGTTTTACAAGGTTAGGGTTTGGTTGTTTTGGGTTTTTTTTAAGTGATTATGACACACTGTGTTTGCATCAATTGTAGTAGTATTTACAAATTTTCACATCCTTTACAAAGTTCTGCCATATTAGTAGCATGCTTTGCTGAGGGTGAGTGTAACTGGAGATAAGTCAGCAGGGTGCCCTGTCTGCCAAAAGGGCCAACCATAACCTGGGGTACATCAAGCACAGCATTGCCAGCTGTTTGTCTCACTCTGCACTGCACTGGTGAGGCCTTGAGCACTGGGGACAGTTTGGGATTTCCTCAGTGCAAGGACATCAGAAGGAAATCAGACTGTTACAGTGTTCTAGAGGAGGTGTGTGACCAACACTGCAAAAGGTCTCAAGGACAAGACCTCTGAGGAGCAGCTGAGGACACTTGCCTTGTTCAGTTTGGAGAAAAGAGGGCTGAGGAGTGCGCTCATCACAGCCTACAACTTCCTCCAGAGGGAAGCAGAGAAGGAGGAGGTGCTGATCCCCCTCTGATGACCAGCAACAAGATACGAGGACACAGAATGAAGCTGCATTGAGGGAAGTTCAGGTTGGACACCAGGAAAAGGTTCTTCTCTGAGAGAGAGGTTGGTCACTGGCCCAGTGACCCAGGGAAGTGGCCAAGGCACCAAGCCTGTCAGGGTTTGAGGATCACCTGGATGACACTCTCAGCCATACAGTTAAATGCTAAGTAGTTGGACCTGATGATCCTTGTGGATCCCGTCATACTTGAGATATTCTATGATTCTAGCCATTTCAAGGAGGTAAAATATGTATTATGTATTAGGGGACCATGGGGTGGGGGCAGGGAGGGAAGCAGTGTCTTTCATAGGGAAGGAGTATTCTTTTCTCTCACAGAACAATCATGGAAGTTTAACAGAAGAACTCTTCTTGTGACAGCCCCAGGCTCTTTTCTCCCAGGCAACTCTCTCAAGAGACTGGAGGAATAATTATGAAATATTGATTTCTGGGTATTCAGACAGAAGAGGAAGCTGTCTGAAGAGCAGCTCTTAATACAAGTCTACTGCATTTTTGCTTCATGGAGCAATAATGGTTTCTTCGTTTGTATCTGAAGTCCTTGTGGATGCTTCTTCACTTCGCTTAAATTTATTCTTATTTGGGTCAAATTGTCTGAGTAGACAATGAGACCCTCCTCAAAGCTTAGGAGACTTTTGTGTTACTGAAGTCTGGTTTAACCCTGTCTTTGTCCTTCTGTTGTTAAAAGGGTATCCATGTAACAACAAAAGAACTGGATTCTCTTGATGAAGATGGTTTCCAGGTCTTTGTTCATCACTTGCCTCAAAGGATAGTCCTGTTGTTCTGCAAACAAACAGAAAAAAACCAAAATCCCCAGCCTTTCACCCTGCCATCAAGCCTCATCTCATAAGTAAAAGGATGCAAACATTGTACTGTATCTAAATTCTTTGCTATAGAAATTTTCATCCAAGCTGCGGTGGATCAGTTGTCCAAACTTTAGTGTCAAGGACACCATTAACTACAGAGAAAATGTCAGGCCAGTTTAAATACTTGCACTTCCGGAATTCAACCTTAGCTTTATAAATAGGACCCTGACTGAACCTGACAGTGGCTTCAATTTACATAATCTAAATTTGAAAGAATAGACATTGATGTGTTACTTTAAATAGCATACTATTCAAGAAATTAGGTCTTCACCAGCACTTTAAATAAATACAAAGTGCTTTATTATTTTATTTTACAGTTTTCTAATTCCTCCAGCATACATTTTCATTTTAGTATTTAGGTATTCTAGCAATATCTGGTGTTTTCACTGGCTTCTGTGTTTTAAGTATTTTACTCCTGTGCCTCATAGGAGTAAGAGTGTGAGATCTGTTTAATTTGTCTGTACAGTCCTTTTAAATAAATGTTTGTTTCATGTCATGCTTTCTTTCTGCAGAGTACTTTCACATCTGTTATGTGCTTATGCTACTAAAAAGCCCAGGTGGTAAAACTCAGTTCTCTAATTTTACAGAATACACTTAGCCACAATTCTGTTACACCTTTATAGAAACTTTATTGAAATAAACAAGGGGAAAGAAAAATTCCTTCAAAGGAGCTTTAGAAAATAGAAAGGAAAAGGAGATAGCACATCAGGTTTTAACCTAGCCAGAGTTCTCAGTTTTTTCTTCTAAAGTTAAATTTGAAAGCAGCAAGAAATACAATTCCTTCTCCAACTTAATAATAATTTTGATCTCTGTTAATTTTGTTTAGCAATATGAATTGTTGATTTTAAAACAATGTGCCCTAATTTCTGTTCATCCTGCTGCTTTTTTCAATTTCTTAATCTGAGTTGTAACATTACTTGTAACAGTAGTCACAAAGCTAATACACATTCCTTCCTAAGAACTAACCCTGAAATACTCCCTGTAACTAACATCAGCTTCCATCACATTTTCCTGAGCTTAGCAAGATTCTGCCGTAAAATGAGCTTCAAACCCCTGGATCTTCCTAAATCTAATATTAAAGTGTAGCATTAAAAACAATCTAATATATTTCAAGGAAAAGAAAAAAAAAAAAACCAAAACAAAGCACCAAAGCTTGTCCCACCCTTAAAACCACTACTTAAAAATTTCTATTGTGCTTTTCAGGCTTTACTCCAACTAGCCTTACTCTTAACTTCCCCTCTTCACTCTATTCAGGTGAAGTGGTTCAATGGTGGATTTAGCAGTGCTGGGTGAATGGTTGGACTTTGATGATATCAAAACTCTTTTCCAACCTAAATGGTTCGAAGGTTCTTTATGTCCCGCTCCCTTTTCCCCCCCCTCACTTGCTGTTCCTTTCTCCTTTTTCTTGTCCCTGTGTTTTCTGGTTTTCTCTGTCCTGTTCCCAGCCTTGTGCTTTCCCTGTACAACCCCGCTGCCAAGCTGGTTCCCTCTTCCCCTTCCTCTTTCCTCTTCTTCTCTTCCTCCTCCCCTTCCCTCATCACAGGGTTGCTCCTGGTGCTCTCCACCTGTGTCCAGCAGCTCCAGGAGCTGACCATCATCAGTCCGTTCCCTGCAGACTGACGGTGCTGCTCCACAACAACCCCGGAGGTGTCCCGTGGGCAGGGCTGCCAGGTGAAGGAGCCTGCTGAAGGAACTTGTCACGAGTGTGACAGAATAAACCCTTATCAGCCACCTCTGCTGTCCCTTTGCACTGGGCTGTGAGGAGCCCTGGGCAGAAGGTGATGCCTGAAGAGAACCGCACAATGGCCTCCTGTTCCTGCTGGGCCCCAGCTGTGGGGCCTGTGGCATCTCTGGTCCTTTATGTCTCTGGGTCACATTTTTTGCTTTGGTCCTACAAATATGATACATAGGGGCTTGAAAACACAAATACAACTTCTGTACATATAAATTATATAAAGGGAACAATAAAGGGCAATTTCCCAGCTGTGGGGCCTGACAGCATCTCTGGTCCTGTGCTCACAGTTCTTCAAATTTTTATGTCCCTGGGCCATATTTTTTGTTTTGGTCCTACAAATACGGATACATAGGGGATTGAAAACACAAATACAACCTCTGTACATATAGATTATATAAATGAAACAATAAAGGGCTTGAAAACAGGAGAAAATATGATTTCTCAGCTGTGGGGCCTGACAGCATCTCTCGTCCTGTGCTCACGTTTCTTTGAATTTTTGTGTCTCTGGGCCACATTTTTTGCATTGGTTCTACAAATACAGATACATAGGGGCTTGAAAATACAAATACAACTTCTGCACATATAAATCACATGAATATAAAGGGCTTGAAAACGGGAGAAAATGTGATTTGCGTGAAGGCAGCAGGCGCCGCTCCGCGCCCTCAGAGGCTGTGTCACTGCAGCTGGGAGCCTGGCCGGGCCCTGCGTCGCTGCTGCCGCCCGCAGGCCAAGAGCGGCACGGCGCCCGCGGAATGCGCATGCGCGGCCTCTCGAACGCCTCGCGGGCGCCCCCCGCACGTCAAAGGCGGTGCTGCAGCCCAGAATGTGAACGTGACCTGACAAGCGCCGAGGCTTTTTACGCTTTTTGCACTTTCTTACGCCTTTTACACTTTGTACACTATTTGCCCTTTCTACGCTCAGTGCTGCCGCCCGGAGGGAAGCCCCCCGGCGCTGTCCGTGGCCGCCGCCGCCTCCCGCCGGCCCCGCGGCCCGCCCGGGCCCGGGAGCAGCGTGGCCGCGCCGCGCTCTCCCCGAGCGGCAGAAATGCAGCACCCAAACCCAGAGCAGCCTCAGCCTCCCCTCCGAGCCGGGCAAAGAGTGACCGCCCCCGGCTGAGAAACTGCCAAAACAACCCCGCTCCCCGCCAGAACCGTCTCAAGGGTATGTCAAGGCACTCCGCTTCGTCTTTTGTCTCTTGGGCGCTATTTTGCATCTCCCTGACAACAAACGCGAAGAAATTCCCTTTAAAAACCTAACTCACAACACGCAGAAACTCAAATAGAGAGGTGCCATAGCTGAGATTTTTTTTTTTTTTTCCACAGCTTGAATTCGGTGTGTCACATCACTGCTTTTCTCATTGCCTGTGGCTGGGGAGCTTCTTAAAGCGATAATAACATTTTCATGGATGTGAACAACAGCTGTGTAAAAGCTTTGCAGTTGCACATGACAGGCTGAGACTCATTGCTCCCTTAAGTGGATGTAAATTGCTCCCTCCCATTAGACCTTGTGCAGTCGGGGACCCAAACACAGGGACTGTCACATTATCAGGACACTGACCTGTCACACCAGCCTTTGCTTCCCCCAAACAGCTGCTGAGATACATTCTCTGTAACACATCTTACAGGCTATGGTTTATTATAAGGTTTTATTTTATTAACGAGCCGTGCTGGGAGTCTTTTTACTGGATGTCTAGCTAAGAGGGAAGTTACTTTGCTCATTAATTACAGGTACTGGATGTGAATGGGAGGAAGGGCTTTTGTTTTCTCTCTGTTCCAGCTAGTTAACCACATGTATCTGGTGAGAAGAAAAGGAAAAGGAGCCATGCAGAGGCAGATCCTGGGAGACTGAAACACTGCCTTGTGGCCTGCCTTGAAGACGCTGCGGATGCTGGTGCACGTCTCATGCAGAGAGTGCAGCGTACACAAACTCTGCCCGCAGATCCCAGCGAGTCCCCATTTCACAAGCTGGAAAAAGGAGCCATGCCTTCCCACCAGGAGGTTCTCCAGACTGGGCTTGCAAGTGGCCTTCAAAGGGAGATAAAGGAAGGTGGGAGCCTGCTGAAGGATGCAAGGATGAAGGTCAGAGCACTTGGATGTTCTGCAAGTATGTCTCAACCCACCCTCGGTGTTGTGCTGGGAAAAGGGCCCCGGGCTGGCCATGGGCAGGGCTCATGAGGCTGCCAGAGGGATTCCCTCAGCCAGACCACGGCACAGCAGTGCCCCACATCACCAGTGCCTGCTGAGGCTGGAAGGCTTTGTCCTGTGCCCTCTGTTTCCTGCACATGGCTGGGGCTGTTTTACCCCTGCCCCTCATGGCAAGCCTTGGGCAATTCCGTGGTTTCATTCAGACGCATTTATTCTTAGTGCATCCTCATGCCATCCACACTCTGCTGAGGATATTTTGTTTGGGAATCTCTCCTTTAACTCTTTGAATTCCTATGTAAATAGGCAGCTGCCTTTACTTAGCAACTGCCTGAGTCATTTCCTCTCTGAGCAATCCTCTGGGTTCACTCTGCAGTACTTCCTCTTAACATTTTCTACATCTTCTGATATTTTTCCTTTCTTAGCTGAGGCACGCTGTTAAAATTAGCAACAGGATTTCACTGTGTATTTGTAAAATCCATACCACCACCCCAAAGATCTCTTTATGTCCTTTCTCAGAATAGTTTCCCTTTTCAGTTGTATAATTATTAAGTCTTGAGGCAAGAGAAAAGTTGCATTTTAGTGGTTCTAAAAAAACCCCCTATCTTAATGAAGATATAAACTGCTTCAATATGATTCAGGTTTCTGTTTTGAGACATTACTGAAATAATATTGACATAAAGAATCTTGTCAATAGGAAAAACAAACTTAAGGGATGAAAGCTTTTAGCCACCTTTTGATTTTCACCGGATGCCTGGAGGATATCAGAGAATCACAGAGGTTGCAATTTTTAAGGCTGGAAAAGACCTGTGAGTCCAACTGTTAACGTAATCACAGAGGTTGCAATTTTTAAGGCTGGAAAAGACCTGTGAGACTCTGTTAACCCTGCACTGCCTAGTCCATCACTAATCCATGTCTCCAGCTGCCACATTCACACATTTTTGTAAGAACTCCAGGGATGGTGATTCCACCACTGCCCTGGGCAGCCCCTTTTGGTGTCTGACGACCCCTGCAGTGAAAAAAAATTTCCCTAATGTTCAATCCAAAATCTATATACATCCGTATAAATATTGTATATACTGGTTTTCAATACACTCTTCTACACTAGTTGACATGAACTGTCACCTAGAACTGTCTTAATATGAATTTATTTTACACTGTATAGAGATACCAGATTTCTGGGATGTGAAAGGCCAAACCCTGTAAGTCAATGGAATAAGATGTGCTGTGCCAAGATCATTGCAGAAACATCAGGGGAAAAAAAAAAAAAAAAAAAAGTCCTGGTTTCAGGTAAAGGAGGAGTTTGGGATTTACCAGCTGCAGTAGCATTGCTTTAAGGAAAAAGTAAAAGTGTCCCTGTCCCATTTCAGGGCAAGGACTTGGTTCAGACTATGGAGAATAAGGCTCGAATATGAGACTTCCCAACACACATCCAGCAAAATGTCCTTTCTGAAAGAAGAAAAGCCACACCTGACAGCCAGGGGCATTCATGCCATCACCATCCATGCTGCCAGAACCCACCTCGTGCAGGTCCTGTGTCTAACCCATCCTCAGGAATGGCCAAGGAAGCCTCTCTGCCTGGAGCATCCCATCCAGCCTGTCACTGCTCTGGGCAGAATA